GTCCAATACTTGCCACTTTCCCCCCCACAACTGTATCTTTTTTTTTTTTTTTTTTAAATCAGTGATCGAACTCAGGACCTTGCATTTGTGAGGCAGCTGGCAGCACCACGGAGCTAAATCCCCAGCCCTCATTTTACTTTTTTAAAATTCAACTGAGTCAGGTGTGGTGGCTCATGCCTCTGGGAGGCTGAGACAGGAAAATTCTAAGTCACGCCTGACAACTTAGCAAGACAGTGTCTCAAAATAAAAAACTGAAAAGAGCTGAGGATATTGCTTAGTGAGAGCCTATATAGCATGTGCAAGGCTCTAGGTTTGATCTCCAGTACTACAAAAACAACACTCAGTGGCAACACTATATTGTACACACACAGTCATATTCAGGAAAATACACGTACCCTTGAGTTAGTGTGTAGTTTAGTTTTTGCAAACTGAACACACTCATGTAAGTAACACCTGGATAAGAACATTACCAGCACCCTAAAAGTATCCTTTCAGATATGCTTCAGTTCCTAACTACCACCAGCAGCAGCAAACTGCATCTCTCCAATCCTGATGTTTAATAGTATAAATTAACTTTTTCTATGCTTCATATGAGTAGAATTTTAAAAATAATTTTGAGCTCAGCATAGTGGCACACACCTGTCATCTCGGTGCTAGGGAGGCTGAGGCAGGAGAATTGCTGAGAGTTTGAAGTGAGCCTGGGCTACATAGTGAGTTCAAGGCCAGCCTGAACTACATAACAAGACTCTGCCCCAGAACTCAAAAAATAAAAATAATTTTAATTGAAGTGTTTATCAACCTTTTATAGATAATGTAAAGTGGATAGAGATTTTATAAGATGAACAACCATTACAGTTTATATGCAATCAAATACCCTCTAGCCAGGCATGGTGGTACACACATGTAATCCCAGCACTCTGGGAGGCTGAGGTACAAGAATCACAAGTTTGAGCCCAACCTGGGCAACTTAGTGACTTGGACCCTGGCTCAAAAAAAAAAAGGTCAGGTAAAGGGCTGCTGGGGATGTAGTTCAGTGCAAGGGGCCCGGTGTCAACTCCCTAAATAAGTACCATAAATAATTAGAGAGGGGGCTGAGGAGGTAGCTCGCTGGTATTTCAGCTCTGATAGGATGGTTTGGTTAACTGTTGCCCAGGCTCTCTGTCATCCCTGGCTTTTCCTGTCAGTCATGGCTCCTCTCACCATCCCAGGTTCCTGAGGCTTTGGAGAAGTCAGAAAGGCCTGGCTTTTCTCCAAAGTGGGTAGAAAGGCCTGGCTGAAGAACCCATACTTGAGCAGTCTGCAGAGTTGAGAGCACCAGAGGCTTTTCCCTTCATGGCAAAGTGCCACTAAGCTACTAAGCTAGTCACACACTGTTTAAGATATTTTGACCCTAGGAGCCTGGCCTTGCTGAGAGGGTTGGATTCAAGGTATAGGCTGAGGTTGCCAGGTTCTACTCATACCACAGGAGCTTGAGCCCTTGCTCAGTGGGCAGGCAGTTGGCCCGTGACCCCTCCTGAGCACAGCTGTGATAAACGTGCCCCTCCAGTGACTCTTGTTCCCCGCAGCTCGCCCCCCTAGGCCCTCCTGCCCTGCAGTGGCTGAAATACCATTGACGATGATCTGCGAGGATGTGGAAGAACAAGTCCACTCCGTCCGAGGCAGCTCCTCTGCACACCCTGTGAACTCAGGTAGACACACTGTCTGCTGTTCTGCTCCTAGTGCAGGACGGTTAACGTCTGTCCTAAACCTGCCCTGCCTGGGCACCTGAGTTCAAACCCTTTATCACTTCTGAGTGCGTGTTTTCTTGTGGCCATGGACTCAGTCTTTCATAGCAGGTGAACGATTGAGAGAAACCCTCTGAAGTAGTTGAGGGGTAATCACAGCCAGGGTCTCAGGCAACACCTGAGGAGCGGCCCAGAGTGATTTGAGACCAAGAAGGCCTGTTTGACCTTTTTTGATTAAGAAAATAGCCAGGGAAACATAAGAGTTTGGGTCAGAACTGAAGTGCTGCTAGGTGTGGTGGTACATGCCTGTAATCCCAGTACCGTAGCACTTAGGAGGCTGAGGCAGGAAAATTGCCGCACATTTGAGGCCAGCCTGAATGACAAAGCAAAACAAAACCGGTGTCCAGATGTCGCTGCTCTGATCTCACATTAGGCAAATCATCACTTCATGAATATACATCCCAGTAGTCAGACCTGTTGACTCTTCTTGCATACAGTGATGGAAAGGATCTACCAAAGGCCTGTTCCCGGGAAAGGCCCAGGATTCAGCAAAACAGCCAGAGAAGAGCCAACTAACATGGCAGATGAAAGACTGGGCTTCCTTTTTTTCTCCCCCTAGTTCGGAGGAAATCATGTATTGTGAGAGAGATGGAAAAGATGAAGAACAAGCGGGAAGAAAAGAAGGCCCAGAATTCTGAAATGAGAATAAAGCGAGCCCAGGTACCTTGGGAGCCTTGGAAAGGGCTTTAGAACAGGCATCCTTAACTGAAGCTTGGTGGGCAGAAGGGGTGCAGTCAGGACCCAATTTCTAAGGCTCCAATTCCAATATGTAGCAAGTTCGATTTCTCTTCAAGATTTAGAGAATACATAGACAATTTAGACATTTATCTGATGCCCTCAGATATGCCAGTTGTCCATGGGGAAGCTGTCACATGTATACATGTTATATTGCCTGGCTGAGCAGTCACCTCTTTTCTCTCCCTGCAGCTAAATACACATACTACTGTAGGGCAGGGGTGACAATAAGGGATACCCTGTTGCTGTGCCTCCTGAGATGCAGAAGTGACCCTTGTCCTACTTCCTAGGATGGTGTGCTGCATGCCTGGGCTCCTCTGCCAGTCTCCCCAGGGCTTCCTACCTGGTTTCTTAGCCTTGAGCCAGGGTGAGGAAGAGCTGTAGTTGCTGCCACTTAGCACTGAGTCTGAAAGTACTTCTATCTTGATAGTTTGCCATTTTTTTGTCCTTGTCTCAAATAGGAATATGACAGCAGCTTTCCCAACTGGGAGTTTGCTCGGATGATTAAAGAATTTCGGGCTACTCTGGAACGTCATCCACTTACTATGGCTGATCCTGTAAGTAAATTGAAAGGACATGTACCTCTCTGTCCTGAGTAGGTACAGAATTGAGGGACAGAAAACTTACCTTTTACAAGCATTCAGGGATCTCTCATCCTGGAGGGGTGGTTTTTTCCCGTTTTTGTTTGTGTGTGTGTTAGAGTTGAACCCAGGGCCTCTCATAAGCCAAGCTTTACCACTACTAAGTCAAGCTGCAGCCCCATACTGCACCTTTTATTTTGTTTGTTTTTCTGAGACAGGGTCTTGCTCTATAATCCATTCTGACCTGGAACTCATAATATTCCTGCTTCAGCCTCCCAAGGGCTGATTATAGCTTGTGTCAGCATGCCCAGCAGCACCCTCCCCTCCCTTTTTAAAAACCCTTTGGTGGGCTGGAGCTAATGAGATCTAGGTAGGAGGTCTTGTCGTTGCAAATGTGTCCCACCTCAGTTATGGGTTGGTTGGGCTCTTGCTAATAATTGTGAAAGTAACGCTAAAACCTCTTGTAAGCAGCAGAGTGAGAAAACCGAGGTGTGGGGAGTTGCAATGCTCTTGACACTTTTCTCTTTGGTTGTCTTTTCTCATCTTCTTGCAGATAGAAGAACACAGGATCTGTGTCTGCGTTAGGAAGCGCCCACTAAATAAACAAGGTAAGCCACTGAATCAGAAAGGGGCTTCAGACTGAGGGTCTCCTGTGTTAAGGGAGCCCCCCAATGAAATACTCTCCTCCTACAGAATTGGCCAGAAAAGAAATTGATGTGATTTCCATTCCAAGCAAGTGTCTCCTCTTGGTGCACGAACCCAAATTAAAAGTAGACTTAACAAAGTATCTGGAGAACCAAACGTTCTGTTTTGATTTTGCATTTGATGAAACAGCTTCAAATGAAGTTGTGTACAGGTTAGTCCATTTCCTCTCTTTTTCCTCCTACTCGCCCCCTCCTCTTTGATGTGGGACATATACACAGAGGCTGAATTCAAACCCCTTCCTGACCTCATGTCTTCTTTGGATCAGCTCTGGCTCCCAGCACCAGAAAGGTCTCATTTAAGCCGACCACAGCCCCTCCCCTCTGGCAGTTTAGAGGCCGCCCCTTGAATGGATGTGAACGAGGTGTCTCACGTTACTCTGCTGTGACTGGCAGGCTCCAGGGGTTCTTCTAAGGTCTTGTGCAACCACCCCATTATTCACTGTGATTAGCAAACACAGGTAACTCCAGATCTCTGTACAGTAGCCTCACTTAAATCTGCATGAGATTGAAATAAAATTTAAAATTCCATTCCTTTGTTACACTGGCCACATTTTGTGTAATAAGCAGCTGCATGTGGCTGTGCTTATTAGCACAAATTGGGACTGTGTCCATCGTAACAAAGTTCTGTTGGATGGCACTGCTATGTAGCAGAGCGTGACTGGCTCACATGCCAAATCTGGCTTATGACCCCTTTGTGTAAGTCCCTCAAGAATGCTTTTATGTTTTTAAAGTGTTTTTCAAAAAATGTGACAGACGGTGTGTAGCCCACAAAGCATAAAATGTTTTAGGCATAGATGACTTAGCTGTTGGAGGATGTGTATATGTGCAAATACTATGTCATTTTATATAAGGGACTTGAGCATCTGCTGATTTGGATATGGGGGTAGTTCCCAGAACCAGTCCCTCTTAGATACAGGGGAATAACTGTCTACTCTCCCCTTCTACTCTTTTTTTTCTCCTAGGTTCACAGCAAGGCCACTGCTACAGACAATTTTTGAAGGAGGAAAAGCAACTTGTTTTGCATATGGGCAGACAGGAAGTGGAAAGACTCATGTGAGCATTTGGGCCTGGCAGAGAAATCCTTTCTTCCCATTACACTGGGTCCCTAAATAGGAAGACAAGCTGGGAATGGTGATACAAGCCTGTAATCTCAGCACTCTAGGAAGCTGAGACAGGAAGATTGCATGTTCAAAACCAGGCAATTTAGTGAGACCCTGTCTCAAAAGTACAAAAAAAAAAAAGGGCTAGGGATGTAGGTTAGTGCAAAGTACTTGAGTTCAACCCAACCTCCACCAGAGGAGAAAAAAGGAAGATAGTTTCCTGAAGAAAGTCCCCTGGAGCTGGGTGTGGTGGCTCAAGCCTGTAATCCCAGCATTTGGTAGACTGAGGCAGGAGGGCCACCAGAAATTTTGAGTCCAGCTACATTGTGAGAACCTATCTCAAAAACCAAACAGTGCCACCACCTGCCTTGCAACCACAAGGTCCTGAGTTCCATCCCTGGTACCAAAAACAAACAAAAAAAATTTGGACCATCACCTTGGTGCAGAGGTCCTGTTACCAGTGCTCATGGTCATCTACCTCTTCCTTTTGCAGACTATGGTTGGAGACCTGGCTGGAAAAGGCCAGAATGCGTCTAAAGGCGTCTATGCCATGGCCTGTAAGTAGTGTGTTCTGTGCCTTGGGGTTGGACAGAAAAGCATGGTCACTTACCCAGGCTCTCCCCTCAGCCCAGGACGTCTTCCTCCTGAAGAATCAGCCCCGCTACCGGAACCTGGGCCTGGAAGTCTACGTAACATTCTTTGAGATCTACAACGGGAAGGTAGATAACAGGGAGCCCCCATGTGTGCTCTGTTCCTCCCAAATTTCTAAAACCTTGAAGTTGGCTAGAAGTTGTAGACGCCAAACATTCTGTCAGCTATAAGACCTTTGGATCACTTGGTCCTGGCGTGTTTAGGAGGCTTCAGCTGCTGGTGAGGTGGCTTCCAGGCTCAGCAAACAGCAGGAATACTCCCGGCTCCTCAGATGGAAGGGAGCCTTGGCTGTGCCTGGCTTCCCTGACCCTCCTCCCTCATGAGCTGCTTCTCTTGACTGCATTCTCATACTCATTCTCTGCTCCAATATAGATGTCTCCCTCTAGTTCTGTGCACTTTTGCCTTTCTTAGACAGGACTAAATAATAAAAATAGCTAATAGTTCCACAACAGGATATTAGGCACTAAGAACTATTCTAAGGACTTGTTTCAGCTTTCCAGGTGGGAAACAGGCTAAGGTCAGGTAGCAACTTGCCCAGACAGCTAGTAAAATAGCAGAGTTGAGTCAGACTGAAGCAAATTGGTCCAGATCTGGAGTAGAGTGCCTCTGCTAGTCTCATATCTGTCAGCTCCTTTTGTCTGCCAGCTCCTTTCTTACTGCCAGCTCTTGTCTAAGCCAGGCAGGCTCTGTAGGAAGGTGGTGTTGGGCAGGGCACTCAGCACCTGAGCCTTTATGCTAATGTCCCTTGCCCGGCACAGCTGTTTGACCTGCTCAACAAGAAGGCCAAGCTGCGTGTGCTGGAGGATGGCAAGCAACAGGTGCAGGTGGTGGGGCTACAGGAGCATCTGGTCAGCTCCGCAGAGGATGTCATCAAGATGATCGACGTGGGCAGTGCCTGCAGGTCAGCATTTGGGCAAGGGGAAAGGGCCATCTTCTAACATCCGGTTTAGGTGATAGAATAGCTTTGAGGTCATTTTTGTTTTCACAGACTGCTGCTTCTCCTGAGGGCTGTAAGGATCTCTGCTTTTTATTGAGTTTTTTGTTGTTGTTGTTGTTTAAGGATCTCTCCTTTGAAAGCATCTCAGTAAGGCAGATGACCCAAGCTAGAGGCTCCTCACCGGTCAAAGCTGCTTTATTTGCAAGTGTGCAAATCTTCCTGATTTGCCTCCCTCTGTGGTGAAAGTTAGGAGCTCTGGATCTGTTCTGGACTGGAAGTAATGGGACTCCTCAGTACAGAAATAGCGAAGACCTGCCTGAAATGATACAGTGGGGTGCTGGACAACTGTGGAGGCCAGGGAGAGGCTGCTGTCTGTAGGGCCCCCAAATTCTGACAAGTGGTTCATGACAGTGCCCTTTCCTGTGTGCCTCGTAGCAGGGGGCACTCCTCTTCACCCATGTCCTTATGGACCCAGGTCCGGCCAAGGCCCTGGCACAATCTACTGATTTGGCTGCCTAGAAGATAGATGTATTACAGCCAAAGCTGTAGCATGAGCTGCTGTCCAGGGAGAGCAGAATGGAAGTTTGGGACAGAAAGACACGAGATTCCTAGAATGCTAAGCAGTATCCCTTCCTTACCAGAGAATTGGAAACTGGGTGACTTAGACACTGGGGTGCCTAGAAGGCTGGTGGCCCCAGAAATTTAAAACCTTTCTTTGCCTCCCTTTGCGATAGGACCTCAGGACAAACATTTGCCAACTCCAACTCCTCCCGCTCCCATGCCTGCTTCCAGATTCTTCTTCGAACCAAAGGGAAGATGCATGGCAAGTTCTCCTTGGTGGATCTGGCAGGAAACGAGCGAGGTGCACATACCTCTAGCACTGACCGCCAGACACGTATGGAGGGTGCAGAAATCAACAAGAGTCTCCTGGCCCTGAAGGTAGCAGGGGCTGCCTCTAGAGCTGGTTGGCCTGGAGGGCACCAGGGAAGGGAGCAGGGAGTAAGTGGGCAGCAGAGGAAAGAGGAGGCCTCAATGGTTTCCACTGCCCACAGGAATGCATCCGGGCCCTGGGCCAGAACAAGGCTCACACCCCATTCCGAGAGAGCAAGCTGACTCAGGTCCTGAGGGACTCCTTCATCGGGGAGAACTCGAGGACATGCATGGTGAGCAGGGTCCCTTGGGAGGAGACAGAAATGCTTTCCAGGGAATCCTTCTACTCTGGCCCTGGCAGGAGGCTTAGCTCCTCCAGCAGCCAGCGTGCCCAGGTCCTTGGCCAGGCTTCCACACCTGCCAAGCCGCAGCAACCTCACTACCTGCCAAGTGGGGAGCAGAGAGTCCACTCCTCTTGCTGGGTGTGGGTGCAGCCTTGACTTCAGGGAGGTAGAAGCAAGAGCTCCAGAATTCAGAAGATAGACTTTAGGGGATCATGAGAGGGAAGCCCTTGTCTCTTTGGCTTTCTTCAGGCTCACTGGCTTCCAGCCTAGGAAACAGACTGAGTGTAAAACCATAGGTCCAGTGCATTTTTACCCTTCTCTTTCCTGTTGGATCTCCAGGCCCTACTGTGTGAGGTCTGCCATCCCTTCCTCCAAGGTATATCCCACCTCTATGCTCTATGGGTTGTTCCATGTGGAAGAAAGATTCCCTGGTGACTTGGGAGGTTGAGGTTTGAGACAGATCCTTTCTGTGTAGTTGAGGCTGGCCTTGAACTTGTGATCCTCCTGCCTCAGCTTCCCAAGTGCTGAGATTAGTCATGCATCACCAAGTCCCACTGGAATTTTCTGATTGATCTCTTTTTTTGTTTTTTGGTGGTGCTGGGGATGGAACCCAGGGCCTCACACATGCTAGGCAAGCACCCTGTCATGGAGCTGCACCTCCAGGCCCTCTGACTAAGTTCTAAACATCTCTCCCCAAAGTATTATCCCATGGCCTGGTGAGCTAAAATTTGCAGCAGGAGTCATAGCAGCTCTGAGATAGGACTTTGGTGGGGGGTAAAGAAACAGAAGGTGATTAGGTGCTCATTCATTCATACTGGGAATGAACTCAAGATGTGCAGAGGCATTTTTAGTTTGATTTCTTTTTGAGACAGTGTCTCACTAAATGGCTCAGGTTGGGCTTAAATTTGCAGTCCTTGTGCCTCAACTTCCCAGAGTGCTGTGATTACAGGTGTGGACCACCACACTTGGGTTGGAAACAACTTTTAAGGCACTGTAATTGGCAGTGCCCACGGGCAAGTTGCCCAGCATAGCACAGGTGTGAGTCGTCACACCTTACATGTGGGTCTGAATGATGCCTCCTGGCACTGGTCCTGGAGCTCATTGGTTCCCTCACCTTGCATCTCACCCTTTGTCCACCCATTCCCTCTTTTGCAGATTTCCATGATCTCTCCAGGCATTAGCTCCTGTGAATATACTCTGAACACACTCAGATACGCAGACAGGTACTGGTACCTTCAGCCAGTGGGGATGGGGAAGGGCATGGCTGTGATGAGAGGCGGGGGCCGGGGCTCCAGTACCCACTGTGTCCTCTGGGACCCAGTGACTGTGGCATGGGAGTTGAGCCATGCTCCTAAGTCCCTCCGTCCCCTGTCGTCAGCAGTGTGTAAGGGTCTTGTCTAGTGCATCTTCAGGCTCTGGCACATGACTTTAACTAAAAAGCAAAGCTGCCTGCCACTCCATCCCCTGGAGCCCCAAGCCTCCAAGCCTGAGTGGTGCTGGGCTCTGGTGGGGAATGGAGGGAGCTGCTATGGCATCCCACCCCTTCCTGTTTCCTCAGAGTCAAGGAATTGAGCCCCCACAGTGGTCCCAGTGGAGAACAGCCAATGCAGATGGAAACAGAAGAGATAGAAGCCAGCTCTACCGGGGCCCTGATGGCACATAACGTAAGCCAGGCCCTGTGGAAATGCGCCCGCCCTGTGGGAGGTGGGGGAGCTGGCCCACCCTTCACCCCATTGTCTCTCCCTGTGTGCCTTAGTTCTCCAAGGAGGAGGATGATGACTTGTCTTCCCACATGTCCAGCTTTAACGAAGCCATGACTCAGATCAGGGAGCTAGAGGAGAGGGCTGTGGAAGAGCTCAAGGAAATCATACAGGTGGGAGCCGCGCCTGGCAGGGAGACTGGACCCCACTTGTCCAGCCTACGGAATGCTCAGCACACCCTGGAGACAGCCCTGGGCAGCCACTCTTCTGGGCCTGCCTGTCCAGCTCTTCTCCTAGGACACCTATTTCTCACTCCTGCCCGTCTCATCCCAGCAAACGTAGGGTCTTCCTGGTGGACCTAGTCCCTCTCCTCCATGCTCCTGGTTGAGGCTTAGATGGTGCCTCACATGCAGGGATCTTGTCTTGTTGACTCAGTGAATGTTCCAGCTCCTGTGCTGAAACCATGGATCTGAAACATCGAGTATGAACAGGAGGCTCTAAAGTGAAACTTGAAATCAGTCCTGACTTTTCAGGGATAAGCTAAGTTCCTTGTGAGGCTCACTTAGTCTCACTGGACCTCAGTTTCTTTTCCCCTAAAATGGGAAGATAGGATGTTGTCTTTGAGGGTTGAGAGATGTGCTGATAAAGCACTGGCACAGAGCCCAGCATCCGGTCAGCATTGAGCAAGTGGTAGCTGCTGTGACCCTGCTGCTAGGGGAGAACACAGAAGTCTATCCTAACAATGGAGCGCTCTGTGGATTGGGGACAGAGGAAGAACTTAGAGGACTTTTGAGGCAGTGCTGTGAAGGGAAGTGGTTGGGCCTGTCCTCCCCTCCCTGGAGTGCTGAAGGGTCCTGGGGTTCAAAAGGACATAGCATTTTCATGACAACTTATTGCCTTCATAGAGCCAAAGGTGTGAGCAGTGATAGAGGGAAATCAAGCCTCTGCACTGTTCAGCAGGGCCCATATGTAAACGAATGGTCTTTCCATGCTCATACCAAAGACTTGGGCTTCCTCGAGGTGGTTGAAGACTGAAAAGGCTTGGACAGAGTGGTACATGGTCATAGTGTTTTAAAGAAATGACTGTGACCAAGGGTATAGCTCAGTATAGAGCACTGGCCTAGCATGCTTGACCCCCTGGTTTGATCTGCAGAGCTGACCAAAATAAAACACTACTTAGGAGATAGAACTGGCAAAATTTAGTGACAGTCTGGGCAATTTCTAGCTCTGGGCATCAGCAGGACCAGTGACATCATGCGTTTCACCTGGGAGACAGGGAAAGGTTTGATGTAGAAAGAGGATGACTTTAAGAGGAGGATTTCCCAGGGGAGGAGGTCAAAAAGCAGGGGCCAGGCCATGGGTAGAGGTGTGGCATCTTGTGCAGCCATCTGCATGGGAGATGGTAGCCCCCAGAAATGATCTGAGAAGTTGCCATTGTTACTGAACTGATAAGGCCCTTCCTGTGTGGTTGCAGCAAGGTCCATGCTGGCTTGAGCTCTCCGAAATGACTGAACAGCCGGACTATGACCTGGAGACTTTTGTAAACAAAGCTGAATCTGCCCTGGACCAGCAAGCCAAGCACTACGCAGCCCTGCAAGGTGAGCGTGATGGTAGGGGTGAGGTGACAGTGGTGGCCTGCTAACTCCTGGGCAGGGCAGAGATCTGGGCCTGCGGAGATTCACCTGGGTACCATGCACTCTCCTTGCAGATGTCATCAGGGCCTTGCGCCTGGCCATGCAGCTGGAAGAGCAGGCAAGCAAACAAATAAGCAACAAGAAACGGCCCCAGTGACAACTGCAAATAAAGATCTGTTTGGTTCACCCCTGGCGTCTTCCCCTCGGCCCCCTCCCCAGCGAACTTGGGCACCTGGTGGGCTGGTCAGGGCCTGTGCTGGGATGGGTTTTGTAAATGCCAAGTGCAGGAGCACTGAGGCAGGGAATGCTACTTTCCTTTTTCTCAACTGGGAGCGAGAGGGAGGAGCTTTGAGCTGTCCTGTGAAGTGCCCTGCTCTTCCTTGAGAGAGCCTTTTCTAGCTACTTTCCCCACATGGACTGCTGGTGGCCTCTCCGGGTTTGTCCTGGCACTGCCGGAGGAGGAGGCACCTCTAGGCCAGCTCAGGCCTGCCATCAACACCCTTGGTCCATGGACTTGTGTGTTTTGTACTTTAAAAAAAAAAAAAGGTTTTGGGTCTTCCTCCTTCCTTGCAGTTTTTGAGGCTTAAGAGGATCCCTACTATATTATTTTATGTATTTATGCACTGTGTTTAACAATAAAGCAAGAGGAAAAAACAGCCTTTTGTGTGGTGTGTGGGAAGAGCCCAGGTTGTGTCTGAGCCTTTTGGGTTGCAGCCTTGGCTCAGTGATTCCAGTACCAATCCTGCACCTTCGCTCGGAGGCCAGATCCATGCCTACAGTTTCAGCAGCCTCTGGCTTGGTTGCAGCTGACGACATTGTGTACTAGGCTCCTCTACCCTGCAAGGGCAGGGACTATAAGTAGAGGAGATGCCGCTCTGACCTTACAGCCTGAAGAACATATGATAAAAACTCTGGGAACCCAAGACTGGTGGCACACACCTATAATCTCAACACTCTGGGAGAGTGAGATGGGAGGATAGCAAGTTCAAGTCCAGCCTGGGAAAGTAAGCAACTAATGAGACCCTGTCTCGAAAAAAGGGGGCCTAGAGGCCCTGGATTCAATTCTCAGTACCACCAAGAAAATAAGCCAGGCGTGGTAACACACATCTGTAATCCCAGCAGTTGGGAGGCTGAGGCAGGAGGATCAATGAGTTCAAGGCCAGCTGAGGCTCCATATTGAGTTCAGGCCAGTCCCAACTACATTAACAAGACCCTGTCTCAGAATGGGGAGGTAGGGGACTGGCTGGGAAGTGCCATGCACGCGGTGGCGCATGCCTTTAATCCAAGCACTCAGGAAGCTGAGGCAGGAAAACCAAAAGTTCAATACCAGCCTAGGTAACTCAGTAGCTTAGCAAGGCCTTGTCTCAGAAAAGACGGTGTGTTTCATTCAGAGCATGTCCTCACTCAACAGTTCTGTGAGCTGAAATGTCTTGCTTTATTTGCCTCAGCTGTTCTTGTCAGAGGGACTGCCATGAATAAAACGCAGGAATGCCGAAAATATTTTTAAATCCCCTCAAGAAAACTTGCTGAACTTTTTGGTAGATTTAGTGGAAAACTGGAGATTATAGTATTAATTTTAGCCAGGTGTGGGGCCCACGTCTTAATCCCATCACTCAGGAGGCTGAGGCGGGAGGAGCACTGAGTTCCAGGTCAGTGAACTCAGGGCCATTGTGAACTACCCAGTGAGACCCTGTCACGAAAACATTTATTAGTTCTTTGAGAATGAACTACATGATGTGCACTCAAAACAATCCAAATGTTCTTACCTTCTCTTCCTAGATGAGCTTCAGAGGGAATTCATCACTCCCTGTAACACGATGATGACAAACACTGCTGTCATAACTGACCACAGTATTTCATAACTGAGTTTGATGATGTCATTCAGAGCAGCAAGCAGCAATATAATAATCCCAGGTCCCTCAGCAAAAATAAATCTGACATGCAGACGAAATCAGGCTGAGGCCTCGTCAAATTCCCACATGTGAACCAGGGTCAGCCATAGAGTAACGTCTGTATTTTGTGTTGACTAAAATGCTGGTTAAGATTTCTTCTATTTGTCGCTGTTTTTAGATTTGACACCAAAAACACAGTGAAAGAATTGAAAAACAGAGTGAACTTCATCAAAACTAAAACCTTAATTTTTTTTTTTCCTGGTACCCCAGGCCGAACTCAGGACCTTGCACCTACAAGGAAGGGCAGTGCCACTGAGCTAAATCCCTGGCCCTAAAAACCAAATTTTTCAAATGCCACCAACAATCAAGAAAGTGAGAAAGAAAGTGAGGCCAGGGATTTAGCTCAGTGGTGCTACTACCTACCTCGCAATCACAAGGTCTTGAGTTCCTGGTACCAAAAGAGAGATGAGGAAAGAAAGTGAAAAAAAGCTACAGAATGGGAAAAAAAAAATTACAAAATATAAATAAAAATAAAATATTTACAAAACATATATATGATAACGGACTGGAGTCAAAAATATATTAGCATCTCACACCACAATCAAAAGTCTAATTCAGGGCTGGGGATTTAGCTCAGTGGTTCCGGCGCCTGCCTCACAAGCACAGGACCTGAGTTCAATCCCCCGTACCAAAAAATAAAAGTCTAATTCATGGCAGGGGTGGTAGCCCATGTTTGTGATCCCAGCACCCAGGAGGCTAAGGCAGGAGGATCACCTTACAGAGGGCAGCTGTGAGATTTCTCAAAGCTTGGGCATCTGAGGGTGTCTGAAGGCACCTGAGGACACAATCCCATTCAGCGCACATTGGGGCTTCGTTCTGTAATAATGAATCAGCATAGACAACTATGCCTGCACCACATGGCCTGCAAGGTTGCCCAGAATGTTTTGTCTTACTGTGTCTTAGTAAACTGATAAAAACTATAAGTACTGTGCTAAAAATGTCTGCTCCACAAGTGTTCTTTTCCTCAGAAATCTCCCCTGATCAGGCTTCCCTTCAGCCCACCAACCCCAACACACCTCAAATTCGAGACCGGCCTGGGCTATGTGGTGAGTTCAAAGCCAACCTGGACTACCTAGTGAGACCCTGTCAAAACAAAAACAAAAATTCTAATTTATAAATGAGGGAAGGATTTGAATAAGCATTTCAATAAAGAATGTACAGCTGGCTAATTATTATATGAAAAGATACTCAATATCTTTCACTAGCGAGCTGTGAAGCAAAGCTCTAAGGATTCATGTATCATTTTGAATCTCCTAGAAGGCTAAAATAAGCCCCGGGAATCCAAGTCATATGGGCTGATCACCAAAGGACCCTTAACAGCACACTCTTCTCCAGACCAGCACTCAATGAAGGGATGGAATGTGCCTTGGAAATCTCAAAAGGCCTTCTGCCCCCTGTATCTTTTCTCAGTGGTATGGATTGCAGGTTGCATTGACTTGATCTTTACTTTTAACATATTCTAGATATTTGAACATCAGAAATGACCGAGGTGGTAGGCTCCTGTAATTCTGCTTTATTTTCTGTTATCTGTCACACGTGACGTAACGCCAGGCATAAAACCTAAGGCACATACTACTATATGTTTATGAGGCAGCATCAGCACGAGATTGTCAATAACACTGTGAAGTGTTAAGAATTTGGATCTTGAGCCAGGCGTGGTGGCACACGCCTGTAATCCCAGCACTCTGGGGGGCTGAGGTAGGAGGATCGCTGTGAGTTTGAGACCAGCCTGGGCTACATAGTGAGTTCCAGGTCAGTTTCAATTACATAGTGAGATCCTGTCTCAAAAAAAAAAAAAAATTTTTTTTTCGATCTTTGCAGCCAAGGGTCAATAAACATTTTTTTTGGAAAAAGGACAGATTAGACTTTGAGGCCACACAGTCACTGTTGCCACACTGCACATACAGTGCATGAAAACAGCCACAGACAAGAGGCTCAATTTGGCCTTCGGGCACTGCCAGCCTCTGCTGCAGACTAACCTGGTACAGAGGTGATAACCCTAGTGGTCATACAGCAAACATACTAATGTCTGTCTGTTTCTTAGGAAAGCAAAATGTTTATCACATTAGTGCCATATTTGTGTCAAAGAGTGAATTGATTTACACTGTAAAGAAACTGCATCTGGAAAAACATTGCAGTTAGAACATACAATAATCTGTCATCCTCTTAGACACACCCATTTTGGAATTTTTTTTTTTTTTAAATGAGTCAGGGTCTTCCTGTGTAGTTCAGGTGAGGTTTGAACTCTGTGTAGCCCAGGCTGGCCTTGAACTTGCAGCAATCCTCCTGCCTCAGCTTCCTGAGTACTGGGGTTACAGGTGTGTACCACCACACCTGGCTCACCTGTGCATTTTTAAAGCGTGGATGGTGACAGCGATCTCTGCAGTCATCTTGGGAATTGGTGTCTTGTTGGTGTTTTGGTTGAAGGAGCTTCAAGGCTTCCCTTGTCCATCCTTCTTTAGCAGCTCAAAGTCTATTGGTCTGGCAGTCAAAATGGCTAAAGACATCTGTTTGAATACTGCATAAATATACTTAGGATTCAGGAGAATAATCTCAATTTGATGTAGAGGTCCAACTACCCTGACCAGTAGGTGGACTTTGTTAAAAATTCTGTAAGGTGACTTCTGTAAGTTTCCTCTCTGACCTTAGACCACTGTGGTATGTTGGATGATCAGACAATGGGGAGAATCTGGGATTTGTTATTGTTTTAAGAGCGAAAAAAACCAAGATATATTATGTCAAGGTACAAACTCCCAATAATGAAAGTCATCAGCATATTGTATACCTAAAATATACCGATACAATTAATAAATGAAAAAAAAATTTTTTTAAATGAGCCAGGGATGTAGGTCCATGGTGCCTTGCCTGCCTGGCAAGCACAAGGTCCTTGGTTCAATCCCTGGTACTGAAAACAAAAAAGTAAAAAATAATTGACAAGTAAAGCATTTTAATATTAACTTTGAATTTCTTTTCAATTCAGACCACACGTACATAATATTTTCTGTAGTTCACAAGTAAAATAGTTTTGAAAGGAAACTTCTAAATTCTTTTTCTTTATTTTTGACACAGGATCTCTCACTCTGTAGCTCAGGCTGGCCTCTGACTCACTACAATCCTCCTGCCTAAGCCTCCTGAGTACTGGTGTAGAACATAGTTTATTTAGTAGCTTATGAGTAAGGCAGCTAGGTAGTGGCAGGGCCGGAGATGAAGTAGAGCGACCAGCTATACTGATAAAAATTAAATATACACAGTGAACTAAGAATGAATTTCCTCAGGCAGCTTGGAATACAGCCCACTCCCTAAAGTCCTGAATTTCAAGGAAATTATAACACAAATTAGTCCTTCTGAGGTCCCAGTTTGCTGTAAACACTGTAGGAACGAACTGGACTAGAAAGCCTGAGTCCCAATTGGTCATTTTAGATTCAGACACTCAGGTGGGTGACAGGAGCCCCTGGACCTATCACTTCCCCAAACATTCCTGTTTGAGCTTTCAAGGCAGGTGGCAGCACCACTGAGCTAAATCCCCGGACCTTTTTTTTGTTTTGTTTCTTCTTTCCTGTTTTAAAAGTCACAATCATAGACAAACCAAGGTTAATGTCATCCATAAACCCTTGCTATGTGCCCCACCTCCGTATTCACCAATACTAGCTAAGCCACTGTACTTGTTATCCTATAGGTTGATTACAGTTTGA